ACGCGCGCCTGGATCTCTCCCTGCCCCTCAAAGAGTGCTGGGATCCAAGCCAGGTCCTCGTGCTTTTACAGCCAGCAAGTTTATCCAGTGAACCATCTTTCTAGCCTCTTGAACACCAAATTGTGTGGTTTATATTTCTCTAGATGTCTTTTTGGCTTTTCGAGACAGGATTTCTCTTTGTAGCCCTGGCTTTATAGACCAAAACTCAGAGATCTGCCTGCCTGTTTCCTAAGTGCTGGGTTTAAAGATGTGCACCACCACCACCTCCCGGCTACTCTAAATTTCTTAATGAATCTGTAATTGTCACAGGGATTCTCTATTGACCCATTTTAAAAGCTTAGAAACTGGATTGTAACTTTCCAGGTGTCCCATAACTGCTCATACTTGTTTGTTTGGGTTTTTTCCTGGGGGTGGGGAGGCAGCAGTCGAGACAGGGTTTCTCTGTGGCTTTGGAGGCTGTCCTGGAACTAGCGCTCTTGTGGACCAGGCTGCTCACAGAGCTCCTCCTTCTTCCGCCTCCCAAGTGCTGAGACTAAAGGTATGCACAACAACTGCCGGCTCATACTTGGTTTTTACAGCGACTTGAACATCACAGACATTCAATAAACAAAGCATCTTTTGTTGTTGTTGCTGTTTTGTTTTTCAAGACAGTTCTTCTGTGTAGTCCTGGCTGTTCTGGAACTCCATCTGTAGACCTCAAATTCAGAGATCCACCTGCCTTTGTCTCCCAATTAAAGGCATTCATCACCACTGTTGGGCAACAAAGCATCTTTGAGTTTGGGGTTCTTAATAGGTGATATTTACAAAGAGTTAGTGTTTAGAGAGGAGTGGGTGTTGTTCAGTCACCAAAATCTGCTTACCTTGGAAGCACAAGGACATGAGTGATTCCCCAAAGCCCATGTAAAAAGTCAGTGTGGTACCAGAGCACATTTGATTCAGTGATAGGAAGTGAAGACAGACAGATCCTGGGGCTTACTGGCTACCTGGTCTAGACATATTGGCAAGCGCCAGGCCAAGTTTTAAATGAGTAGAAGAACATTCCCGATGATAACATCCAAGGTTGTCTTCTGACCTACTCTCACACACACACACACACACACACACAGACAGCCTGGACACACAAATTTAAAAAAAAAATCTGTCTTTTGTAGGGATAATTGCTCTTAAGCTGATTCTTTGAACTTGACTCTTTAAGATACATATATGCCAAAATATTTCTTTCAGCCAAATTTTCACTGACGTCATTGAGGCACTGCCAGGTCCTTTTTTGAATTGACATAAATTAATTACCCATCTTAAGGAGTACATTGTTAATTTGATATGTTTATTCAATTTATAATAACCAAGTAAGGATAATTAGCATTATCTCCTTAAACATTTATCATTTCTTTGTGTTGGAAACCCTCAAATTATTTTCTTCTAGTGCTTTCAACTATAGTCATCTTATATTGTATAGACTTTAGAATTTACTCGTCCCATGTAACTAAGTTGTATGTGACTTTCCTGTTTGGCAGTTACATCAGCAGATGACCAGTCCATTGCTTCTTACCAGAGCACATCACTCATAGGCAGATTGTCAAGATTCTATGAATATTCATTGTTTTTTATTACATACTTATTTTGGGTGGATGGCATACATATGGAGATCAGAGGACAAGCTACAAGAGTCAATGCTCTCCTTTTACCATGTGGGGTCCAGGATCAAACTCAGGACATTAGGCTTAAAAAGCAGATATCTTTATTTATTGAATCATCTTCACTGGCCCAGATACTCCTGTTGTTGTTGTTGTTGTTGTTTGTTGTTGTTGTTGTTGTTGTTGTTTGAGACATGGTTTCTCTGTGTAGTCCTGTCTGTCCTTGAATTTACTCTGCAGAACAGGCTGGCCTTGTACTCAGAGATGAGTTTAAGTAAGTTCTGGGATTAAAGGTATATGCCACCACCGCCCAGCAATAATACTATTTTATAGAGAGAAGATAGGCTTTTGGTATCATTGTTCCTTTCCTTTGTATATAAAATTGGCTGTATCTTAGATTCTAGGTACTACACTTGGTAATGGAATATATATACTGATGAGTAAAGCAGAGATGGTCCCTCATTTCTTATACTAGCAGTTTACCAGCTAAAGTAGAGTGCCTAAAAGTATGCACATAAAACCTAAGTATGACTTTCAAAATGTGGAGTTGTTGGGCTGGCAAAATGGCCTAGCAGTTAAAGTCATTGTCAGGAGAGCCTCATTACATGAGTTCAACCCCCCACCTCCACCTCCACCCCTACTGCCTCAATCTATAGTGGAAGAAGAGAACTGCCTCCAGAAAGTTGTCCTTTGACCTCTGTATTTGTTCTGTGCCACATGTGCCCACAGTCATAGGTACATATCATAACCACATGCACACATATACAACAGGTTGTTTTTGTTTTTGTTTTTTGGTGTGTGTTGCTCACCCTACACCAGATCTATAGTTTTTTGGGATAAGGACCCAGAAATCTTCACTTTCAAGTCTGTCCAAATAACTGCAATATATATTAAAGAACTTTTGAGAACCTTTGTATATTTTCTTTATGAAGTACATATTGGGAGCCATTTCTAATTTTAAAACCAGCTTTAATGTAAATTTCACATCGTTTTGTGAATTAAGATTAAGAATATACTCTGGAGCTGGCAAGGTGGCTTAGTAGGTTAAGGGTCCCTGTGAAGTCTAATGACCATGAGTTCGATTCTCAGAATTGAATCTCAAATTGTCCTCTGATCTTAACACCTAAACTATGGCAAATGCATGTGTGTTCATACACAGATGCACTCACTCTCCTCCCTTGCCCCCTCTTTCTAATTTTTTTTCTTATTTAATGAATGTGCTCTATAGCCTGACTGCTGGAGATTGTATATCAGCTCTGTGCTTCTGAGTCTTGACCAAGTTATTTAACTGTTCTGTGCCACCTGTCTCATAAAAAAAGAGTATGCACATAGGTTAACTCAGAGAAAACACTTAGAATGGTCTGTAACACATAGGCAGCATTCAGTAGCTATTAGAAAATAATCATTTAAGTTGAAGTATGTGTCAGTCATTCCAGGGCAGTAGTGGTCTGACATATAACAACAGTCCACTGCACAAGAAGCCCAACAGGAACATGCAAACTTATTGGCTAAGACTTTTAGCACTATGCCCAGAAGAAGTTCCAAACCTTGGTTGGGAAATTGCATGCTAGTGCTATATCTACAGTCTCAAAAGACCAAGAATAGGTTTCAGGGGTACTGAAGTAGCCTCATTGCATTTCACATTTCATATAAATTGCATTTCTTTTTGGCCAAATCCCTGGAGTAGTGTTGAGTATGTTAGATGGATGTTGCCATGGGTCTACCAGCACATACAGTCGCATGGAAGAGTAGTGCTTTTGTTGCATAAGCATGCAAAGTAAAATAAAATCTAAGTCCTTAATTTTCCTACACTGATGTGAATTTGTATTTTTTTCATTTGGTCACAAGAGCTTTTTACCAGCAGGGCTTATCCAGGGAGACAGCAGGCCTTGTGCTTTCAGGCTAGAGGTGGCAATAACACACACAGCTGAGATCTGCCACTGCTGACTGCCTGAGCCCTCCTCTCTGTGGTTTGCACTCTTCAAGCCATGCTTGAGTAACCTGCCTCCAGAGCTGCTGACAGAGCTGTGTTCAGAGGCCTTGGAAATTACACTGTTCATTTCCTTATCATCCTCTGACCTGCAGTGCAGAGCCTTCTGGTGCAGGAACAAGGCAGAAAAAAATCCAGACAGCTTCTCGCCAGCATGTGTCAAGAGCTACAAAGAAGGAAATTGGACTTGCTCACTTAAAAACCATGGGGTTAGGCTTTGATTTTTGGATCCTGCTGAGAGTTATTTGTGTGTGTGAGCATGTTTTATCTCTGTATTTGTATAGAATGATTCTGTACACGGCGGTGCTATGGAGGAGGAATGTCTGAAAGTAGAGAGCAGAGGGAAGATTGCTTTCCTCTTTAGTTAATTTCCCAGTTGTACCATTGGGGAGGGCTTGGAAGAATTAGCATCAGGAAGGTGCCAGACCATATTAATATTTTAAAGTATATCTCTTGATACAGTTTAGTCATGGGTGAGAGCACCCACATAAGAAATGTCCTTGGCTGTCTGAGGAGACATTTGTATCAAATGCTTTTCTCTGGTTACTCATCCTAGATGATGCTGGTGTCAGTGCTTATTTTGTCTTAGACGTTAGATTTGTCTCAGT